GCTCCACCTATGAGCAGATGAGGCTGTGGGGGACCTCTCAGTCCAAGCTGTAACAGTCCTTTCATTTAAAAAGAAAGTATAATTGTAGCTATCACTAGCCCGAGGATGTCATTTTTTCAGTTGTACCGTATTTACCAGGTGGCGGTGGAGACCTGCATGTGCAGGACAGTGAGGAAGTGGTGGCAGGAGGGACAGTGGGGAGGTGGCTGTCATCGGAGATCATGGCTTTGGTGCTAAAGACCTCTTTGCTAGGCTGGAGTGCTTGGCTGCTGAGCACAGTCTATGCTAGATCTGTGCTCATGGCTGCCTGCTTGCTAGAGCAGGTGAATTGTATGGAATTCATACAATGGGGCTGGAAAGGGAGGAGGGTGTGCTGCCAGGGTACAGCCCAGGGATGCAGCATCTTTCATATGTTTCTCCTAAGCAGAGACCTCTTGGCCCACAGCCGCCTGTCACCCTGGCTGTTCTTTTGACCTTCACATGACCTGGTATGAAAGAATGAACCAAAGCAATGATTTTCTGCCTTGGAAATCACAACTCAATGTGGTAACAGAATAAGCCAGTGGCGGGGGAGGCGAGGGAGGAAGCTGGGTCCCATAAGGCCTGGGTCCTTGCAGTGGCAGAATGATCTTGCATTCTGGGCTCCCTGGGGCAATGATGGCTCCAGCTCCTGGATACTCACATATGACAGCCAGTTTCACGTGTCCTCTGGGCTAGGTTAAACTCAGCTATCTAATCATCATCTAGCTACTGCTTGGCAGGGATTTTGTGGCTGTGTTTCACATTGGAGCAAGTTAACTTTTGTTCCCCTGGATAATGTGGGCACACCTGATGTGTCGAGTTGAGTTAGACATATGAGGTTTCCTAAAGAAGAAGAAATTCTGTCTCCAGGCTGCAGCATTAAATATGCACGTTTCTAGCTTGCCAAGCTGCTTTACAAAATTTAGTTCTGGAACAATGCTCTCCTCTTTCTTCTGTTTGTCTGGAGAACCCTGACCAGCATATCAGGTGTATCTGTCTCTTTTATCATTCCCTGGCATTCTCCAAATGCATCCCTACCCCTGACTTTGCTCCTTAAAATCAGAAGAATCTTGCACAATATGTTCGGTAATGTTGGCATGCGTTTGTGAAGCAGATGCTCCTAACTGCCATGACTGAGGCTGAGTAGAGCCCCTCGAAGGTCTTGATGTTAAAGGCTTGATCCCACGGTGTTGATGCAGAGATGCACTAGGAACCTCCAGGACGTGAGGCCCTCTGGATGCCTTTAGGTTTGGGGGAACAGCCTCAAAGGAGTTGTGGAGCCCCAGTCTCTCAGTCTCTCCCACTCTCTGCTTCCCAGTTCATATTGTAAACACACTCATTGATCATGCTCTACCATATTACCATCCACTGCTTTCATGGCTGTGTCTCGGTGTCCCCCCAAAGCCTCATACCATCATGAGTGAGGCTTCTAGAGGTGGCCGACTCTAGAGGGTGTGATGCTCAGATCAAGGGCGTGTGATTACTGAATCAGCCTGCTGATTGCTGTGGCATAGTTCTGCATGTGGATATGGGAAGCCCATCTTGGGAGTGGGTGCTCCCCTCCATGGGACCTGGATAGAAGATAAGGGGCAGAAAGGGCTGCTGCTGTCATTTGCTGTTCCTTCTCTACTTCACTACTTTGCTGCCTTCTGCCCACCATGAACTGTTCCTCCTCTGCCATGCCACCCTACCTTGGAGCCAGCCAATTAGGGACTGAAACCTCCTCAAACTGTGAGCTGAACTAAATGTTCCTCCTTTAATTTTGGGTGTTAGGTATTTTGACTCAGTAATGAGAAAGTAACAATGACAACCATGTTTATCAGAGCCCAAACCAGGTCACAAGATCTTGGATTTGAACTTGCAGATCTGTGAGCCAAAGCCAGCCTCTCTTTCCTCGATGGAAACCACTATGAAGCAGCTCTGAGCAGGATTTAAAATTAACTAACTGGCTTTCTATGTTTATGTCAGTCTGTCCTAGACTTAAGCCCCTTGTCTGGAGATGGGCAGCAGATTCACAGTAAGTGAATCTTTATGAATCACTGGTCCTGGCTGAGACCTGTAGATACCTGTGATGTCAAAGACACCTCAAAGGGCAAGGTAAGGCCACAGCTGAGGACACCTGGCTCCAACCCCACTTAAGTAGATAGAGACTGTGGTTGCAGTTATCTCCCTCCTGATGTCTTATCCCCACCATAAATGTCACCACGGAGATAAGACAGTTCTCCCAAATTGGCATACTAAAGTCTTGAGGAAGTCTTTGAAGTGACTCCCAAGGTCCTGCTCAGTTCATTCTTCAGTATCCCCTCTGTTTGAAAACCTAAAAAATATGAGCTTCCCAGAGAAGCTCTTTGTCTCAGGCCCCGGTGTCTTGAACTTTGCTAAAGGGTTTAGGTCCTCCTAGAGCTCTAAAGCCATACCACGTGTCTCATTTATTGAAGCCTTTGCCATCCACTTGATGTGAGATTGGGGGTCTTGGCCAGGTCCCCAATATTTCCTTCCTAAGTAGCCCACCGGGGTGTTTCATTATAGTGACACAAAGCTGATGGACGCAACAATAGCAGGAGATGGGTGTAGCCTGCTGTAAAGGCTTGGTGCTTCGTGGATTCTTACAATCCTGAAGTACTTGTACCCCCACAAGGAACTGGGAGCCACAGGTAGACCAGCTCTGCCCTGGGAAGAGGAAGCAGTTAGCTGCCTTTGCCCCACGTGCCAGCAGTGAAGCTGGGGTTGTGGTGTCCAGGGAGGCAGTCCTGTTCTTCCAGGACACTGAGCAGGACTGGCTTGTAAAGACAGTGAGCTTCCGAACCTATGGCAGGGCAGGCACGGGGTGGCGTGGTGACCTCTGTGGGGTCTCCATTGCTGCTCCAGTTCCTCAGTCTCCCTCTCACCCCACCTTCCTCCATGGGTGACAGTGTACTGTGCTTCCCTTCTGCATCCAACTTTGTCTTCGCTATCTTCTGTCTTGGTCAGCAGTGGCTGAGATCTGGGCAGTGGCCTTTTACTGCACATGGTTTACACTTTGGTTTTCATGCAGGCACAGAACACAGGACAAGTTTGGTTCCTGGGGGAAAGCTGGCAAGCTGAGGCAGAAGAGACTGCCGGGGTGAGGGTGGCATGGGGGGTCAAGTGCCAGGGGCCAGCACTCCACACACATCCCCTGTAGAGGAAGCGGGGGAGGGGGATGCAAGGGGAGTGGGAGGTGAAGCCACCAGGAAAGGAAGGCCCAGGAAGCGAAATTTCAGCTATTTTATTTTTATTTTCCTTTATTTCCCCTTTGGTCTTTCAGGAGGCCGGGGAATGGTTTCTGTGCTCAGTTACAATACCCACACTGATTACAGTGATTGGCATTTTGGCTTTTTTCCTCATAGCTCTTGTGAATTATTTTTTGAACGATGTTGTTTCATTAGTCATTTTAAGAAACAAATGCACTGAGATGCTTGCTGTTTTTCCTAAGGTGAAATAAACCCAATTTTCCCAGTGTAAAGAACACAGGTTTTGAAGTCCCTGAGTCCAGACTCTGCCACTGGCTGTGCAGCACTGGACACACGCCTCAGTGTCCCTATGCTTCTGCCCGGTCCTCAGGGAGAGATCCCTGCAGCACTAATGCAGCTCCTCTGACCGCCCTTTCTTGCTCTTCCCCCAGAGCTGGCAGCCTGGACCAGGGGGTAGGAAGGGCATCCTTATAGCTCTGAGGGACCTCATGAGCCATCTGCAGCCTTACATGAGGTCCACTGGGTCAGCTCCTGGCCCAGCTGGGATGAGGCCGAGCAGGAGAGACTAAGTGATATGGACACAGCTAGGCCTGTGGGTGTCAGCCTCTCAGAGCTCTGAGCTGAATGAGGCAAGTGCGAGTTGGAGCCCATGCTGGCTCTGGGTCCTCAGGAGTGCACCATGCCCTGCCAGTACCTGTCTGCCCGCGTGTGGAGCAGCTTCTGCTGTCCTGAGGTTCTGGAGGATGGTGAGGACAGAAAGGACGGGCAGTGAAGCCCCAGAGAGCCCTGAGAGGTCCAGAATCGGTTTGCGTGGAGTTATCTGGGAAGGATCTAGGGCACTAGGAGGGCGCAAAACTGAACGCTGGGCCAAGGTGTGGAGCGTCCAGGCGGGAGAGCTGGAGCCACATCCATCCAGAGCAGCGGGTGCTCCATGGTCCAAGCTCACTGGGTGCTGGGACGCACAGCCCTGTGAAGCTGCTTCCTTAAGAGCAGTGTGTCTGTGCAGGCGTCTCTGTGCAGAAGGCTCTGCAGCCCTGGCCTAGGGTGCGAGCCTGCGTCCACAGGTGGGCCGTGGTGTCAATCCTGGCCTCCTTTCCTGTTTTAGGACCCGGTGACACTGCCCCAGTTAAGCTGCACTTTTTGCTTTTCTTAAGCCCTTAGGCTCAGAAGAAGAGGGCGAGGGGTTTTCAGGGCAGGTCTCTGGCGCTGCAGATGCACGGGGTCAGCGGAAGGACACGTGCTGCAGTGACCACTCCAGTGACCCATGCTGTGGAGCGAGGGCATCTCAGGACCCCTGCCGTCCCTGGCTCTACACCCTCTGCAGCTGGACCTACCACCCAGGAGTGCAAACCAGAGGAGGCAAGGCCTTGTCAGTGACCACTGAGAAACGCACGAGTGGTCAGTGTGAGAACTAAGCTCGATTTCGGTTTTATGCAGGGGAAACTGAGGCTCTGTTTTAAGGTGAATCACCCAAGGATGTTCGGATGGGACATGATGAGATGATGGCGCTGCTTCCCGCCCCAGGCCCGTTTTTCTGGGGACCAAACCCCGATGAAGACGAAGAGTTGCTGCGTGCGCAGAGGGAGAAGGGCAGCCCTTGGCAGCCTGTGTCCCTCAGTGGGATAATCCTATTCAAGGTGACATCAGAACACCAGGGCTATGCACACCGCCCTTGTGAGGCTCCGCTGGGCCAGGATCAGCGCCTCGACTGGCCTACCGGGTGCTGGACAGCGCCTCCCTGTAACACTTCTGTGTTCTTCCTCCTAGGGCGCGCCAACACTCCTCCAATCAGCTGTCAAGACGTCACTCTGCCTGCCCCTTCAAACTCCATCCCCTGTCAAACTGAATAACTGCTTGCAGTTTGTCTGCCCCAAGGGGATCTTGCAGTCTACTGCAATCCTCCTGTGCCCGCAATAAAGGCCTTTTTCTGTTTTTCCCTTCTTTGCTCTTGTTTTTCTACCATGCTGAGCCAAAACCTATCAGAGGGAGCCTTGGAAAAAATAGAAATACGTGGCCTTGCTCCAGGCCAGCTAACAGAATCTCTCCTTAAAAGAGTCTGGGTATAATTTGAATACACTGTCTGGATGCTACTGACAGGCTGCTCAAGTTAAGCACCTTGATGCTTTAGGAATAATTGTTGCTGAATAATCCAGCATGGGTCATTGTTATTAGGCACCTATATTTTCACAGGTTGCTTTTCTTCTAGCTCTGATAGCATAACAATAGGGAGAGTAGTATGAGCTCCCATTTCTTTCATGTTCTTCGGGTAAAATCACTTAACCATTTTTGTGCTTCAGTTTCCTTATCTGTAAAATGGAACTAGTAATAATGCCTCCCCCAGAGTGCTGTGAAAATTGAAATAATGGAGATAATACACTTAGTGCTTGGTATATGATAATAGTCCTTACCCTAATGAACATTAGCTGTTATTATTGGTGCATTTGACATGATGATTTCAAAGGAGGCTTGCGTCTTCACTCTGGGAGCTCCTAGGATAGGCCTGCTAGTTGCTTTGCTCTATTGGCTCTCCTCCTCTTTGGAAATTCTTTTCAGCTAGAGAAGGAAGGCACTCCCTTTGTGCAAATCAGTTCAGGTTCACAGGTGCAGAGCGATCAGGAAATTAGCTTTGGCTAAAAATAAATCAGCTTGATCATTTCTGTTTCCAGCAATCCAGTGAGCTAGATAGCCAGAACGTGTTCCCTTCCAACACAAATTCTGGTTACAGTGTATTTTTAAAATGCATCTGTGAGCTGATGTGGAAGTGAGATGCTCTTGAGTTCCAAGCAAGCTGACACTAAGAACTCCAGGAAGCAGATGAATACACAAACTTACTTATACACCTGAAGTTTCTGCCAAATGCCAGTACCTAGGCTGCTTCTTAGGAGGATATGTGGGACCAGAGACAGGAGAGTAGGTCCAGGGTTCAACCAAGGTAAAATGTCCTATAGGAGATTCTGAAATACACCTGAAGGATGTCTCTGGTGGGGGTGGTGCTTAGGGTGGGCATTGATGTCATGTGAGGAGCCAACTGGAACTTTTTTCATGTGCACAGGGAAAGGAAAAAGGAACTTGTAATAGGGAAGGAGGAAGTGGCTTCAGGGTAAACACCCTCTGATTCAGCCTCCACCGCCATAATGTCCTGTAACTTATTCTAGGGCAAAACTCTTTCACTGACGCCAGCCTGAGGAATGGAAAATGCAAACATCACCATTAAGATTAGAAAAAGACCAAGACTTTAAGAGAAATACACTTTAAAAGTGATAGAAATCATAATATAATATAATACTAAAAGCTTAATTCCCGCAATTATATAACAATTGAGAAGACACACATTTTGAGGATAAACACACACACACTATCTACTACTACTACTATCTACTCCAAGTACAATAAAGTAACGAATGATAACCTACTATCCAGGGAAAATTGATAAATCTATTTTACTAGTGGGGAATTTTAATGTTTCAAATTCATACATTCAGTAGGTAATAATCAGTGAGGATACCGATTTAAAGAACACATTAATGAGTTTGTTCAAATGGGCATACAGAGAACATTGCACCCAATGCTTGGAGATTATAGCTTCTTTTTAAGCATTTATGGAACTTACTGTGAATAAATTTTGAATGTAATTAAGTTAGAAATCAATTACAAGAATATAATTAGAAAAAAATTGTTCGTTTGGAGATGAAAAATACACTTCTAATCAACTTGGAGGCCAAAGAAAAATATCATATGGAAATTTAAAAATACCTGGAACTGAATGTAATGAAAATATTATTTTGGAATGTTCTATATATGTAACGAAGCTAAAGCAAACCAGGGATGGGAGATGTTTGTTAATTGGAAAGAGGATTTCTTATAAACCCACAATGACCACCATAATTAATGGACAGTGTCGTTTCAATTCCGAGCATGTTATGCTAGCTAGTCAGGGCTTTCAGGAGACAAAGAACCAATCAGGGAGAAGGATGATTGATTGGTTAGATAGATCAGAGGGCCATGGGTCAAGCCCCACAGCACAAAGGTCAGAAAACCTGCAGAGCTGATTCTCATATGTGTGTGTGTGTGTGTGTGTGTGTGTGTGTGTGTGTGTGTGTATTAGAACATATGAGACAGGGGAGAGAGAGAGAGAGAGACAAAGAGAGACAGAGACGGTGATGGTAACGTAGAGCCAGAGACTTCTCCTTCTCTCTCTCTCTGGCTTTTGGTTAGTCTGTGCTCTGAGCTGATTGGGTTGTGCCTGCTGTCCCTCACTGGGTGAAGGCGGGTCTTCCTGCTCATCCTGATTTAAATGCCAGAAACACCTCAGCAACATCTGGTAACCCTGATCTAGAAAAATCCTGGAATTAACTGTCGCAGGTGCCTGCTACCCACATTCCTACATAAGATGGCATTGGCAGTCTTGGTGAGAAAAACAAGAAGCAAACTTATATATGTAATGTCATAGGAAGAAGAAGCAAAAGCATTAACATTGAAAAAAAAGAAACTAACCAGCTGTAGAAAACCCCAAATAATCTACATACGAATGATTAGGATTAATAATAGCTTAGGTGTCTCGCTATAAAATTAATATAAAAGTAATTATATTTCTATATAAAAAGATGATTAGGAACACAGCGGACAGATAACAGCAGCTATGAAGGCTCTCTGAGATTGCTAGCTTAGAATCCAGGAATGGTGCAGTGTGAGGAGTCCTAAGCAAGGGGAGATATACCCTGCTGACCCAAGAATGAACTAAGCTGAGAGAAACCAACTGGAAATGCAATCCCGGTACTATAACAGGAACAGATAAAATCTCAGTGCCAAAGCTGGAACCTGTGCCACTGGAAGCTGGGATTTGAATTTCCTGCCGCCACTGCTGCGTCTGAATCCGCACAGCAGGGAGAGAAACGCAAAACCTCTGAGAGCGTGAATCAGCGAATGGAGTTGAGAGCGGGACTGGTGGGGAGCCCTGCATTGACCTGCAGTGAGTGAGAGGAATGGGGACCCCTCCATAGATAAGGAGGCTCCAACAGAAGACATTCTGGGACCGGGCAGACTAGCCAGAACAGGACACTGCAGTGACTTCAGTCACATATTCCCCTTTCAAGCGGGATTGGTGGGGATGGTTGGCTTGGGTGACACTGCGGACTAAGACCCAGTAGGCTAGCCCAAGCCAGGTCCAGTGCCTGGCAGTGCACCCTAGCAGTGAAGCCTTCAGTAGGTTGACCTGGAGGGGCAGGCTCAGTAGAGGCTGCCCAGGTCTGTGTCTCCCTAGTACACTGCAGTGGGCAGGAACACCTAGCCTGAGGATTCAAACAAACTGTAACCAACAAAGAAAAAAAAAAAAAAACTGGGCCTCCTGTATACGCTTGTGTGGAAGGAACAAAAAGTATGGGAAGAGGGAGCAACAAGAAAGGGTCCTCAGTCCCCAATCCTGAGAACACTGATCCAGGAAAGGTAAATGCAAAGGAGAATGAGGACAGAAAATGTGTAATATCAGACACAGCACCAATAGACATAAAGCGATATCTCCAGAGCCTCATAGACGAGTTCAAAAGTGAAGTATTTAATGAAATAAAGCAAGATATAAGTAGAATAGTTAGAGAAATGCTAAGCACTGCCCAAGAAAAAACAGATGGTGGAATGGAAGAACAGAAAAAAAGGGGAGAATTGTTTGATGGAGAAAATAGAGAAAACATAGAATAAATGAAGCAGATTCAAAGAGATTACCAGGAAACTAAAAACTCTATTGAAAGCTGGCATAACAGTTTGAAAGAAACAAAGGATAGATTAGCTGAACTGGAGGACAGATTTGTAAGGTGGGAGCATGAAATGAAAAACTTCTTAAAAATAACAAAGAAACAAACAGCAATAATACAAAGGCTAGAAGATGATATGAGGATCTATAACTTAAGAATTAAGAACATAAAAGAAGAAGTAGGGACACAAACAAATGAGATACAAAAGAAATAATCCAGGAGAATTTCCCTAATTTAGCAAAAGGTAAAGATACTCAGATGTATGAGGCATACAGGACCCCAGTCATTTACAACCCAAACAGAGCTACACCCAGGCATATAATAATCAAAATTTCAGAAATCCAATATAAGAACAGATTATTAAAAGCCATCAGAGACAAGAAACAGATCACTTACAAGGGAACACCCATTAGAATTACAGCAGACTTCTCGGCACAAACCATCAAATCATGAAGAGCGTGGGGTGGGGGGATAATTCAAGCTTTGAAAGATAATAACCAAGCTTTGAAAGATAATAAGCCAAGATTGATATATCCTGCACAACTGTCCCTAGAAAATGATGGAAAAACAAGGTGCTTCCAGGATAAAGAGGAACTAGGGGAATTTGCAAACACCAATTCAACTCTACAGAGAATACTGCAGAATATTCTAAAAAAGGAAAATACCAAGATTCCAGAAATAGTGGCAGAGCGGCCACAATGAATGGAGCAGAAAGTGAAATGAAGAAGACAAACTGACAACAAACGACAGAAAAAGAGCTCAACAGAAATGAGGCAGAGAAGATTGGATGGTAGGAACAGCTATTTCGGAGAAAACAAGACATCATAATAGCTAGTGCTGATTTAATATCATCTTGTTTTGAAGTCCCATCAAGCTTTTGTTCTTCTGTCTCCATCGGTCTTAACATGTTATGTCTTACTGGATTTTATTATATGTGTTAATATAAACAAAAACTTTTATAGATAAGGAGATTATACGGAAACCATTGTTCATTTTCTGTTAGTTGATTCTAAATACCCTGTAATACTGTCATTCCCTTGAACAGGTTTACATTGTCTTGATATGTTTGATGCTACAGTATACGAAGTTATAATCAAAGATTTCAAGGAAAGAGACATCATGGTAACTACTTTTATGTCGGGATTATCTTGTGGTGAAACACTATTTTGCTTAAATGGTTATGTTTTGACCTGTGC